GGGTAGGGACAGCGAGGTAGGGATAGTGGAGAGAAATAACGTTCATCATCATCATCATCATCATCATCATCATCATCATCATCATCATCATCATCATCATCATCGTCATTATCATCACAATCATCATCATCACCCTTGCATCAAGTAGGAGGGGAAAATATATAATGGAGAATTGATATTTGTTAAAGTTTATGACTTTATTTTTAAAATGAATATAACAAACTATGTTCGACGTTTTGCCCCTATAACGGGTGTTATTGGGACCATCATCACGAGCCAGATCTGCAACAAACATCAACCATCATGGATCATGGTTCTCCATTCATCCCTCTCTCTAAAAACAAAAAACCAACAACAACAACAACTACAACAACAACAAAATAAATTCACTTTACTAAAAAGCAAGAAGGTGAAGGTGGAGGAGTCAGTTGTGTCCAATATTCACCCCCTCGTTGCTCTCACCGACAAAAGAAGGATACCCCTCACTCGACACGACATTCTGTCAGTATGTAGAGCTCTTCGGTTTTGAAAAGAAAAATGGTGGCTTCCCCGCCGTGTGAAGTTTTACAATATCCTGTCTCAGATCGTGGGGCTGGCTACCTCTTTGGACGTCAGCTAAGTCACCTTTCACTCTTATCTAAGCAAACAGTGCACAGATGGCTCCAGGATTTATAACGTTTACCAGTACGCGATGACGTAGACGAGTTATGAAATGCTCTTCTTGCAAAATAGTGTGACTTCACAGGCATACCTTGAGTTACATAGGAGACTTTAAAGGGCCTGTGTCACTTCAGAAGTAATTGTTTCAGTCGTTTTCTGGGGTTTATTGGGAGATTACTTAACTTTGCTTGTCATTGATGCAATGCTGGTATTAAAATTTTCCTTACCTATTCCTTTCTTTCTTTCTTTTTCTTCTTCTTCTTCTTCTTCTTCTTCTTCTTCTTCTTCTTCTTCTTCTTCTTCTTCTTCTTCTTCTTCTTCTTCTTCTTCTTCTTCTTCTTCTTCTTCTTCTTCTTACTATTATTATTATAATTATAATTATTATAATTATAATTATTGTAATTATTATAATTATTATTATTATTATTATTATTATTATTATTATTATTATTATTATTATTATTATTATTATTATTATTATTATTACCTCAACTCATTCATTTCTGTGTACGTTAGTCTCTAGCGACACCTATAACTTCGGCATTTACAAAAATGTAATCTCACATAATTATGTGAGGCAGCGTGGTGGGATCAGGCTCTCGTCAAAATAATCAAAGGGAAGAAAGGTTTGTGAATTTGTATCAAACTTTTCTTTTTTTGGCTCAAAGCCCATTAAAAACTTTTTTCTGAGTGGGCTTTTCTGAAAAGCGTTGACTTAAGGAACAAAAATGTAAATTTTTAGTTACCACGTACTCTTAAGCTAAGGAAATAATTATCTTTGGCTGCCATTTTCTCACTAATTTTACCTCTGAAAGCATGTGACCCCCACCTCCTTCTTTCACAAATATCTCGACTTGTATTCAAGATAAATGGATTTTTTTTCATTCAAATAACGACAAGAGAACAAGCTTTAAGATGATACCAATAACTCTACATGCCCCAAAATTGACGAGAAACTGATTCCACCACGCTGCCTCACATATTATTATTATTATTAATGTGGCAAGAAAAGTATTTTTTTAAAACCCAAACCCCCGAACTGAATAGAGCTCTGTGGTTTTAGGTACAAAGACTAAGGACAGGGAAAAGGTAAGTTTATCTTCAGAAAGGCCACTTACGAATGAGAAGATGTTTTTGATATCTGACTTTGGACGCAAGCTTCTTTCTCTTTTTGAAATATCGTTACGAACAGTGATGGGTTCTAAATGCAGCGTTTTTTTACGCTTTTTGGGAAATGATCAATTTAATAATATCTAAAATATATACAAGAGTAAAGGATGGTTCTAAAAGATCTTTTGGAGAAACAAGGCAAAATATCTTTTATAATCTGGTCTAGTTCTACAAATCCACTTGAACTTTTAAGGCTATTTTCCAAGAGAAAAACCCCATCTTAGCTTTAGTAGTGTTTTAAGACCCTAGTAAATGCATCAGGTCATGTGAGCACGCAGGACACAAAAAGCATATTATAACGGTTAGGTAAGAATTAATTTTGAATTTTGCCTGGGGGCCGAAGCCTACTCTTATCAATTTTAGGATCACAAAGGGATCTTTAACGTGCGCAACTGACACACATGACTTCTAAGATTTCTTCCTCTGTTTCCAAGAAGGCAAGGCGTTCGATCTTACCTACTCTAAATATCTCCTCTTTCTCCAATTAATGGTCCAGTTGATATCTTCAATACTAGCTCTTTCCAAAATTCCAATATTCATTTATTGTAATAAATTAATTCCATTTGAAAGTAAATTTCCTTGGGATTTTTTTTTTTTTGGGGGGGGGGTGCTTTTAATTTTTGCTGAGTTGTTTCGTTTGTTTTCCATATCTCGAAATCGTACATCAGTAAGGAAAAAGTATTGCTATTGTACAGTTTTAATTTCATCTTTATTTCATCTTAAATGAAATTATCTTTGACTTCCATATTATGCTTCTTTTTTTTTAAAAGCGATCCAGGCATTCTGAGTCTTTGGTTGACGTCGTCAAGGCAGTCTGCACTTTTGGAGATAATGCTGCCATGGTAATTGAATCTACATATTTATGTAAGAGGCTTTCCTTAAAATTGTAATGGGGTAGTTTCTGGTGATAATAACGACACATCTGTTTTGGGTGTATTTATTACAAGTCCAACGTTTTTCCGCTGTCCATGCTAATCTTTAAAAAACTAAGTCTACGCTACTTTGATTTAATTTTCTAAAAAACTTAAGGTATATTCTTTATCCTTGATCTACGGTGCAAAGCTGACCTCTTTATAAATCCAAACTTCTATTGGAGTTTACGGCATGTTCAAAATGAATTACGTTTTATGGAAGAACTGGGCTGACACATAGTTAGGGGATCTCCACAATCCCTATCCCTATCCCTATCCCTAACCCTAACCCTAACCCTAACCCTAACCCTAACCCTAACCCTAACCCTAACCCTAACCACGTATTCGATAACTCCATTGCCACTTTATTATTCGATATTTTTTGGCTGGACAATATTCGATATCTCCATTGCCTGTTCATTATTCGATACCTTCATTGTGCGGACTATATATTCGATACCTCCCCTTCCCGTTCTTATTCGATACCTTCAATATTCGATACGTTCATTATTCGTTCAGTGAATCACTCTGTCTCATTATTCGATACCTACTTTGCTCAGTCTAACCTATATCTCACGATATCATTAATAAACTCACTATTGGCGATGGTGCTCCCCTGACAGGTAATATTTCATACATTAATCTCCCGTTTATATTTGATGCAAATGTCTATAATCGATACCTTCGTTCCTGTCATTATTTGAAACCTCCCTTTCTTATTTGATACCTACCGGTCTTTATTTGCTAAACATCGACACCTCCTTAACTTTAACAACTAGTCGATACCCATTTGAAACTTTCAATATTATTATCAATGTATGGTTATAGTTATCACCGTTTACGCTTCGCCGCATGCGTGCCTCTTAATTGATTATTATTTTACATTCAGTTCAGTATTAGATCATTCCTAGGTGTCATCACATGACCATGACATTATTTGCTACGTATATATAGTAACAAACAAATCACAACCTTTAGCTGGTCGAATTTTTATTTTTTGATTTTTTGTTCAATTATATTTTTCATCATTGATTTTTTTAAATTATCACCCAATTTAATGTAATAGCAGAATGCCAATTTAATGAATTAGCAGAATGCCACCATAGTGGCGAGCACAAGACGTGAAGTGAAGTGAAGTGACAATGGACAACCTAACATGTCCTACACATATTATATCAAGTATCTCGATTCGTTTATATAGTCGGTGTACTAACATGTATATTATATTATGGTTTTGCGTAGAATATTTTCTATCTGTCATTTTGTTCATTTTGAAAAATGTGCTTTCTAAGGACTTACTAAGGTTTGAAACATTTCCTAATATTTCGATATTTAAAAGTTTTGCTAGATTTGTCTTTCACTTATTAAATCGCTTTTTAAAATTTTTCTGTTAACTGTTGTTTAACGATACTTTTTAAGGTAATTGTTTCCCTTACTCAAGCAGTTATTTCGGGATGCTGTACCTACTTCATAAAAGAGGACTCTTCTAGTGTTGTGACTGAGTGTTCTACCTTCAAAATCAACAATGTCTTGTTTCTTTTAAGTGTTTAACATTTTACTTGTGATGTGATGTTGTGTTGTAAAGAAAAAACTTTTGGGCCAAACGATCGGTTAATGAGACTCGTGGAGCAAGGGCTGGAGATGAAGGGAAATGACTGAGGATATGGTTTTTGAGAGAATACTTTACAAAGATTTATGGAACCTGGAGCCTTTACCCAAGTATTCCATTTATTATTACGTGTGCACTCTCCGTCTCTTCTGCCTATTCTCCGCTGCTTTCTCTCTCTGCCCCCCCCCCCCCCAATCTCTCTCTCTCTCTCTCTCTCTCTCTCTCTCTCCTAGTTTTGAAGTAGTATCCGGTTAAATACGCAGGCACTAAACAAATTAATTAATCAAAACACCCCTGGCCTCGCGTCTTCCCTTCTCTCTGTCTCTAGTCCGTCATCAG